GTTAAGCTTTACCAGGCAGGATGTTGTAAGAACTCACAAGGTGCAAGAAGGGAGGGGAGGAAAAAGAAAGTTGCTTATTTAAGGCTAAGACTTCATATCTGCAGTTTATTCAGATTTAGGTTTGAGGAGTGCTTGGTGCCATTGTTACAATTCCTCTGTATTTGCTAGGTGTCTGTCACTTGATCTCTCATCAGATTCTAGCCTTGCAAAGATAGAATAAGCATATAACCATAATTAAATAGAAAAAACTAGTGCCAGCAGTTCAGTAGCAGATTGTTATATTGCAGTAACACTCTTAGATTTTTTTCTCCCCAAAGTAGGGCCACGATGGCAAGTAGAATACATATACATCAGAGTCTCTCTGAAACAGACAATATATACAGTTTCAATCAGGATTCCGAAATAATTTCCAAAATTTGAAAAAAAATAAAAACATTCATGATAAACTAAAAGAATATAAATTTAGTAATAAGCCCATATACATTGTTGAGACCTGATACAGTGCTGTCTTAGTCTTATTTCTAAGCGTTAGAAGGTAGGTCAGGTCAAAATGGGTGAGTGATGGATTTTAACGTTGTGTACACATTACTACCCTGGCTGGTGTAGCGACATAGGTGTGGAGAAAGCAGTAGAAGCAGGAAAACAAATGCAAAGAGCACTTTGAGCCATGAAGACAATGCAGTGATCGCATAGGTTGGCAGAGCTACACCGCGCATGCTTCCTTCTTCTGTGTGATTCTTATATTGATCCTCCCACTTAAAAAAAAATTTGTTTCCAGATTTTAGACTTTTCTGAAGTGCCCTACACATTTCTTTTTTTTTTTTTTTCCAAAGAGATGCTTACATTTCGTTGATAAGACCATAAAGAAATAAGAGCTCCTGTGGGCTCAGTCTGCTTGACAAATCAGGCCACTGACTTTTGAACGCATAATTTCCAGAGGAAGCTTTCCTCCTACAGGCAAACTACTGCGTTGTGTGATTGTTTTTTCTTTCCCTGAACAAGTCTGTAAACTTCTGGCAGGAAATTTGAGTGCATTTTGTTCATTAGTAAAGCATGCAGCACTTCACTGATGCTCAGTCAGTACCATCGGGTACTGAGATCAAACTCCTATTTCGCAATTTGGTCCTGAGTTTGGGATAGGTTTCTTGAGCACAGACAAGGAGGTATGTCACAAATACTGGTAAAAAAAATTACCTCAACTCCTTCACAGTACAGTTCTCATGTACTCTGTCCCAAAAAAGCACCAAATCACTGTTATAATCAAACAAGCTGTTTCCTCCTTTATCTAAGAAGGAATTTTAAAAAAGGAAAAAGTGTTTAATATTCCTGATAACTGTCAGTTAAAAATATGCAAAATTTATCGCTGAATAAAAGATAAGTAGGTCTGAAGACAATGACCTCTTCCCTCACCCTGCTCATATGTTAATTCTGATCAGTTACGCATTTGCCTAGTGTGAGTAAAGCAGAAAAGACTTCTTGTTTGAAGATGTAGAGGACATTGCCTTCATGGGCACATCAAGTTCAAGGAATGCAGCATACCATCTCTCTGCTTATTCATGTCTTTAGCCACCTTTGCTTCATTTATCTCCCATTAAAAAGTGTTTTCATTTGGTATCCTTCCAGAATTACCTGTGCTATAGTTTAACAGGCTTATAAATGCATCATAATGATCATTACAGTTGGCACAGGAGACTTAATCAACACAAGACTCACGTGATTCAATGTTGTTACAGAAACATTCGAATAGCTGATGGCCCCAGGACAAACCAAACCACACAGTCATTGCCTAATCACAGGGAGTGCTTGAAACCACATAAATCTTGTCTAGCTCTTACCCTTTGCCACTTTCCTTCCACATCCAAATTCAGCCAGTTCCACAGACGAGTTGGGTTACATAGCTGCTAGTGGCTAACTTCAGCTTCTCTCTTTTCTTCTTTTTTTCAGTGCAGTCAGTCCATGGGCTGAACTGCTAAGGCAGCATTCCAGCTGGCACCTGAACTGACAGCATGCTGGAGCAAGTGATGCAAAGGGAGTTTAGTGCACTTACCTTTCAGCTCTGGAGACTGGCATTTAAATCTCAACAATAACCTCATCCTAGCACTAATTTTTCCCAAGCACAGTTTGTAGCATTCAGTACTTCAGCCTGTCTGTATTTCTCTATCGAAAAATGCCAGGACCCAAAAAACAGAGACATGAAGATCAGAAAAGGAGTACATAATTATGCTCTGGGAAAATTAATTCCATAAGGGTTGTATTCACCTGTGTGCAGACTAGCAGGCAAAGTTTTCCTAGAGCTTCTCATGAAATACGATCTCAAGTTCAACTTGTATAGGACCACTGTGTAATATATAGATAAAATCTGAGCACAATCCAGAAGTGTTCATGTAAGCAGAACTTCAGTGGTGCTTTCTGGACTCTCTATCTTTATTTTTTTCCGCCACATAGTAACACTTGCAATCAACATTTTCAATCCATTTTGCAGGGTCGCTGAGGAGATGAAAACCATCATTCAGTGCCCAAAACAACGGCTAGGAGTTGAGGTACAACACCCAGAAACAGCTAGTGTATATTACTGTTCAGTTTTGTCTTGTTTCTGTTGATGTTTTTAATGCAAACATGTAAGGGTCAAAAACTATCCTTTTGTTTTGTGACAGAATCACAGAACGGTTGAGGTTAGAAGGGACCTCTGGAGATCATCTAGTCCAACCCCCCTGCTCCAGCAGGGTCTTCTAGAGGATACTGCACAGGATCGTGTCCAGGCAGGTTTTGAATATCTCCAGCGAAGGAGACTCTGCAACCTCTCTGGACAACCTGTTCCAGTGCTCTGTCACCCTCACAGGAAAGGAGTTTTTCCTCATGTTCAGATGGAACTTCCTGTGGTTCAGTTTCTGCCCATTGCCTCTTGTCTTGTCGCTGGGCACCACGGAGAAGAGTCTGGCCCTATCCTCTCGACACCCTCCCTTCAGATACTTGTACACATTGATCAGATCTCCTCTCAGTCTTCTCTTGTCCAGGCTCAACAGGCCCAGCTCCCTCAGCCTTTCCACATAGGAGAGATGCTCCAGTCCCCTCATCATCTTGGTAGCCCTCCGCTGGACTCTCTCCAGTAGGGCCACGTCTCTCTTGTACTGAGGAGCCCAGAACTGGACACAGTGCTCCAGGTGAGGCCTCCCCAGGGCTGAGCAGAGGGGCAGGATCACCTCCCTCGACCTGCTGGCAACACTCTGCCTAATGCACCCCGGGATACCATTGGCCTTCTGGGCCACAAGGGCTCATTGCTGGCTCATGCTTAACTTGTTGTCCACCAGGACCCCCAGGTCCTTCTCTGCAGCGCTGCTTTCCAGCAGGTCAACCCCCAGCCTGTTATGGGGTCAGCTTGGGGTTCTTCCTCCCCAGGTGCAGGACCTTGCACTTGCCTTTGCTGAACTTCAGGAGGTTCCTCTCTGCCCAGCTCTCCAGCCTGTCCAGGTCCCTCTGAATGGCAGCAGTCTTCTGGTGTGTCAGCCACTCCCCCCAGTTTAGTATCATTAGCAAACTTGCTGAGGGAGCACTCTGTCATCGATGAATACATTGAACAGGACACTGCTCTGGGGCCCCTGGGGGACACTGCTAGCTACAGGCCTCCAGTTAGACTTGGTGCCACTGACCACAACCCTCTGAGCTCTGCCATCCAGCCACTTCTCAATCCACCTCACCGTCCACTCATCTAGCCCACACTTCCTGGGCTTCCCTATGAGGATGTGATGGGAGGGAGCAGACACCAAGGCAGCAAGCAGGCAAGCTTTAACATGCTGCAGTTTAGATTACCCATGGCAGATGGGTACCTCCTGTGCAAATCCTTTGGGCCTAAACCCTGAAGTTTAAAACTCACAAGTTTTGCAGTCACCAAGCTATAGTCTCAGGTACAGGTACTCCCATCCTGCCAATGTCTGACTTAACAAATTTTTTTAGTTTTGGTAATCCGGAAGAGAATAAGTGCCTCTCCCTAAAATAAGTATCAGTGCAAGATCATCCATGCCTGCCAGTGACAGTAAGCCACCTGTACCAAAACAGAGTCCTTACTTATTCTTAATCTGATACAGTTTGACTAATTTAATTATAGTCTAGGAGAACAATAGTAACCAGTGACAGCTTGTGCTTATTACAAGTAAATACTTGTTACAATAGGATAGTTGCTCTTACACACTGAAGAGGTAGGGCTTTGAAGTTCAATCTTCCTCATAAGCTTTTTGTGGAGACAAATCAGTGTAGGTGAAAGTCTACATTGATGGAAAAATGCAGTACATAACTCGAAAGTAGGGCAAAGATTTATTTCTAACCATCAACTGAAATCCTGAAATGAAGGAAGAAAATTAGCTTAAAAAGATCCCACAGCCCAGATACTAAGACATGAAGAGTGCTGGCTTGCAGCCGCTCAGAACAATGATCAGGAATGTGGCCAAGCCTGACAGCAGTGAATATACTCATGTTTTTCCCACTGAACTACTATCTCCCCCTTATTATACAGGGTTAGTATCCCCACAAGGCTATTTGAGGGTATTTAAGCATTTGAGATCAGAATTGCTGTGCTACAAAATAATTGGAACTTGTTTTGTTTCTTTTAGGGGAGGGGAGAAAAAAGTTTTATGATGCAAATAGTCAATAAAATACTGATGCAACTGCAGCTCCCTGTTGCCCACCTTTTAGTCCCTAGCTTTCTTCAAGAACGTCTTTTTCTAAAGCAGCCTGTTTTTCTTTAATTCCTCGTCAGTTACTACAGAGAAAGGTTGTGGCACAGATGACTGCATCAGGGTCATCTAATCATGAGAAACAGATCAGAGGTGTGCACCAAAGCCTAATCCAGATGACAGTGTGTATTAGACAACCTCCAATTACACGAGTGAAATTTAAAGGTCTCATGAAGCTTCTTTCTTTAGTCCAGGCATTTCATATGTGCCATACAAGGCAATTAACAAAATGAAGTTTCATTAGGTTAAGATAGGATATCATGTACTGCAAGATTTCAGAAAAAGATTTTCCGTATGTCATGTGCGCCTTTCGGCTCCAGTTGCCTGGTGGCATACTGTAGCTTGCTTTGAGCCAACGTGGAGTAAAAAAGACGATCCTTTAGGTCTAGCACATGTAGCGATTGAGTTGTGTTTCCAACCTTGACTTGCAGCAGGCTGTTTGTTCACTCAGAGCTCACCTGTGGCCTGGGTTCACTTGGCAGAGTAGTCTGAGACATGTGCCTTGTCTCTGCAGAAGAATCTTCTAATCCCCTAGTTGAGACGTGAAAGGCTGTATTTAGTTACAGTAGAGGCTGCGTGGAGCCTACTTTCACAACACCCTGCAAAGACTGAGTGCTACTTGAATCATTTAGCATCAGAGAATACCATAGATTTTTAAATAGTCATTTGCTGTGCAGTTTTTGCTTTCCACACCTTTAATCCAGGACCCTGGCAGAGCTGACTGAACACAGAGCACTTGCATCATTGTCAAGTGAAAAAATTAGCTTTCTGCAGCCCTGCTACTCACTGTTTCTGAAATTTAGTTTATTCTCACAAGAAGCTCAGCTTAGAAATCAGGGCAGCAGGTAGAGAAGACTAGAGGCCATGCATAGACTAGTTCAATTACACAGCACCAGCAATATCTCACTCACTTATTTGAAAAGTAACTTATTTCTACAGGGTAGGAAGCAAATCTGTTGTACTCAAGCAGTCATTAATTAGTATAGAATGTGATCTCTGTGAATATCTGCACTACTTAAGATAGTTTCAAATCTCTTGAACTAGATGGATAGCTGCAATATATACAGAAGATTATATAGACATTAAGTATGTACAACTTGTTTTTTCCAGTAGTACTTACTGAAATCTGACAGCTAGTAGGTTTAAGATTGTGCAATAATTACAAGAGGTGTTGATCTTGGCCTTGGTAGGGAAGATCATGACAAAAAGTAGTCTTTCCCTCTGTTACCAAGTTCACAATTAGGAGGACACCATCTGGTCTGTCATCTCAAACAACACTAGCAACATCAGCTTGGAACAGTTGGGGAGGTGGCTGGTGACAAAGGGGTCAGGGGAGCCTCTGTTACTAGGAGTTGAAAGGTATAGCAGTACTTACTTGACAGCAGAGGACACAGAAGCAAGAAAGCCAGCAAGCAGAAGGAACATAAAAACACTTAGGATCGACGTAACGACAATCATGCCTCCACTCCTTCGACCAGGCCAGGTATCAATTTTCAGGGGAAGTTTAACTAGAAAAGCATGAAAAGAATGTTCCTGTCATCTATTTTTGACTAGTACACCCTCACCAAAAGGGGAAAGGCTAGTGATTTAGGAGAGGCAAAATGATTCTACCTGAAGTCTTAGCTGAGCTACAGAAAACAGGTTTAATGCTCAGTGCCAGCCTTTAGAGGGAATAAGACTGTCTCAGCAGGCTAGCCTGTATGATTAGTACCTGCATTACACAGAAATTTCAGCATTGCCTCAACTGTCAAGTAAAATGTACAAACCTCATCTTTACTAAAATAATTCTTTTGTTTTGAAGGTCACAAAAAAAGCAGAACATTATTGCCTATTTAAGTCTGCTATTCCCATAGTGAAAGGCTGACAGAATTGTTTAAACTGTAAGAAAGGACTCGATGTTGCTCAGTATGAGTAATAGGTATCCTAAAGCAAGTGCAGCTTCTTAGAAGACCTGAACAAAGCCACAGACTTACCTCGTCTGGTTTTGATTGGATCAGACCACAGAGTCTGGTCTTTCATGATACCGTCAGTGTTATCTACCAATATGTATTTAAATCTGTGGGGGGAAAATTAAATTAGTTATTTCAAACTTGAGCTTCCTTACTAGGATTTTGTAATCTACTGAATTAGCTAGTTGGTCTTCAGCTTTTGTTGAAGCATTAAATAGAGATAGTCAAAGGTAACTGGCTATTTGCAAAGATCTTATAAGAAACAGAATAGAATTAATCATAGAAAAAGCATTCTGTACTATGTCATGTACAGTTTGCACTTCATTCTTGAGCCTGGGCAGATGATAGCTTTCCAACAATATTTTTTTCCCAGCTTGCTATTCCCTGTTGTGAAGAGCTTCATTATTTAGGAAAGCAAGTGGTTTTGATTTCCATATGGAAGTCAAATATTTTATCCAACAATAGAGAACTTTGGCACTTTCCCTGCTAGAGGAAAGCATTGAAGAGAGAGACCAACATCAGATTTGGCTAAGAAATTAAGTTTCCATTCCGTAGTAGTCTGACTTTTCAGAAGTGTCCAGAGAAGCCAAGACAGTTTCTGCAAAATTAAGCCAATAGTATTCTGTTTCAAAAGCGTATTAGGTCTCCCCAGCAGACATTGCTCTATGTGATTGCTATTTTTACTATGGCTTTTAAACAGGGGATACCAGCATTAACAAGCATTTCAGGTAACAGCGGGCAGGGTCCCCAGCTTTCCTGGACAGTTAACTTCCCCAAAAAACAGGACTCTGATAAGTTAGCAAGCCACCTAACCCTCACTGTGAAGCCTCCAGGCACATTAGGGGCTTCCTGGAGCTGGGGACCAGAGAACCTTGGTCCCCCAGAATCCCACCAAAATAAAGCAAGCCGAACCAGAGCTGTGTCTGCACTTTGTCAGAATCACTTAAGCTAAAATACATGATGAATAATCTCAGTGTCATTTCCTAAGCAAAATCCTTTTCCTTCAGCAGTTTCTGATCAGATGCTATCACTGGATCACTTACTGCAACAGCAATATAGATTCAGCAGTTCATGCATGAACTTTCCTAGTGATCTGTGAATTCAACCTGATAGAGCAAGATAAGCCCTACAGAGAGTTAGGCCAAAGCTAAGCCACCTTTGTTATTACCTTTGCAATGGAACACTTCGGTTCTGGACTAATTTGAATGATGCTATTGCAGGGGAATATGGCAGACTAAATTTTGCTTCCTACTGCATTTTTAGAGGAGTAATCACCTTGAGAGAAATAAGAATTGTACCTGTATGTTGTATCTGGAGTGAGAGGTGGGTTACAGACATCTAGGAAGTTTGGGTCATACAAACAAGTCCCATCACCCCCAACTCTGAAGAGGTATTGTTTGAGGACATCAGAAACTTTTTTGATGTCTCCTGCATCAGCAAGGTCTGGGGGTGATGCGCAGTTGGGTACATTGAACAAGGCAGCCTTGTAAGGTCCAAGCCGTCCCCCACTTGTTTGCTGAAACGTGCTGTCAAGTGGTTTGTTGCTGTTGTCAGTCACCAGTGAGCTTATTGTACTTGCTGCAGGAGAGAGACTTTTTAACAAGGCTGTTAGAACTAGGTCGTCCCTTCCCATTCACCCAGTGTTTACTCAGTGACTTTCTTCTACCCAAAAAACAAGCGAGAAACCAAAAGTCTGCTACCAGTTTGGCTGCGTAGAGGTCCTACCGTCCCTCCCCATTTGCTGATAAAGCCCTTCTGACATTTATCCTTTAAACTGTGAAGGCTCCACAGCATACCTCAAAGCAGTACTTTTTGATAGCCACCCTCCCAAAATTCCTCTTTTCCAAGGAGAATCTAATGGTGTGGGGAAGGGAGTGGCAAAGGGTAGATGAGTCATAAAGTCACAAGCCAGAAAGAAATTAACACACTTTTACCTTTCTACATAGGGTGAGTAAAAAATAGAGAGTTTGATGAAGAAGCCATCTCCTTTCTTCAAATTCTGAATACCTTCCTAAGGAAACAGCAGCACTTCTGTGCTTTTGGAATAGGGTTGAGGGGTCTGCTGCTCAGAGAGCAGTTGGCTCAGAGGGAGATATTAATCTCATGTCAGAAGAATTGACCATAACAATCCTGTCTCCTGGAGCAGAAACCCTGTGATCTCTGCCTGTGCAACAGCCATACCTCCCGGAATAGCGAGGTAAGCAGAGGCTTCATGGATAGATGCAATACCTACCTTTCTGAACGAAGATCAGAAAAGTGGCCATGCCAGTGCTTCTAAACAGCATGCCACAAAACAAAGTCTGAAAGTCTTCACAACCTCAGGCAAACAGTGGATCTGTGCCCAGCCCTACAGCAGAGGGTGTGGAAGCTCAGTTCCAACTCTCAAAGCTTTCCTGCTGCAAAGCCAAGGCACAAGTCCCAGGAGATGCTCCCAAGTTCTGCGGCTGTACCCCCCCCCAAGCTGTTCAGTGCTGTTAACAGTGGAGGAACACCAGTTGTTCCAAAGTTGCGGTATGTAGGCAACTACTTCAGTTTGGAAGCATTTTGTTGCACTCTTGGAGCAGAGTTCTTGCAATTGCTTGGTCATGAGAAGCTTTTAGTTATGATCCAATGCAAACTAAAACTGTTTTGCAAGAGAAAGGTTTCTTGCACAGGTTAGAAACCTTCAGAATCAGCACTCAAGTCGGTTAAGCCCTTCCATTCAAAAGGAGCCAATAATAAGAAAGTGAATAATAGCTAAGACCTATTCTAATCATAGACCTGATACCCCCAATTATACTCCTTCTTACCTAAGTCTGTTTCCCCACCCAGTCTCCACTTCAGGAACTCCAGCTACAGGAGAGTTAGCCTGGCTGTGGTGAGTAAGCAAGACTCATGTCTGACACAGGCACTAACAAGAATAGACTTAAAAGCTGTATTACTCTTTCAGACTTTTGTGAGACCCTGAGCTTGATAGCATGCTGAGACATTTTCCTTCCAGCAGAACTGAACACAATGTGTTAAGAAAATTAAGTTATCTTAAGTTTATCCTGTCCCTGCTCCAAAAGACATCCAAGGGTGAGCCAATATGCTGCTTTCCAGACCAGAGACAAATCCAAACAAAATTCCTCCCAATTTGCCAAGAAACAAGTTTGCATCTGCTTGTTTTAAAAGTAGCAGCATAGATTTCTCCACACACAACCCCTTTAGAAGGGATTCATCCATCAACGCAGGAAGCTTTTGTCACAGAAAATGAGGTGGTTGATGTAGTTTCTAACACAGAACAGTGAATAACAAAGTTGCATATTTGCAGTTATAATTATATATCAGATCAGTGTAGCCTTTTACGTAGTTGTAATGCACTTGCCATAGCCTGTTTCAGACATACAAAGGTGCATATTTCACTTGTGGGAAGCATCTCAGAAGGCAGTACGTTCATGATTGTATGTTAGCTGTATCTGACAGCATATCTGGTTATGGTTTCTACCATTACAATCAAGAAGCATTTTCCTGCCACCTTTTCCAAAAAGGCAACAACCCAGCAGTGTAAGTTTCAGAAACTTTCTGTGCTGTTAACTTGTTGTTGGCCAGTTCTCCCTCCTCCTCTTGCCATGAGTTCTCTTCTCTATGCCTCTCAGAAAAGGAGGCTGCATATCACCTTCAGGGAAGAAGTTATGTCATTTATATCTGTTGGGTTAAGGAGTAGCTCTAGCTGGCATTCAAAACAGTCTGCCAGAACAGCGGGAAACAGAGAAGGCAGCTCTTTGTCACTGCCAAGCAGTTATGAAATTCATTTTATGAAAGAATCCACAGGCCAGGCATCTTTGACCACAAGTCTAGCATGACTTCTCTTTGTCCACAAAGAGTTCTGTCCCTGCAAGCGTTGGCTACCCTTGAAGTTTGCACACCTAACTACGAAGCAGATAGCAGTAGTTACCCAGCTTCTCTTACCAGATTTACTTAGGGGTATTCAGATTTTTATGCAAGGCATTCATGTTCAAAGATAAAGTGTCAGACTGTGGAACGCTTGGTTTTATTAGCAAGTTTTTGCTAGGCTGTTTATAGCTGAGAGTGTTGCTGTACGAGGAGTCAGCTAATGCACCGCTCATGCTCATTCTTGTTATTCAGCCCCACTGAAATACTATGGTTATCTTAGAATAAAACTTTAGAGAAAGTTGTGACCAGAGGCTCAGCTTGCATGCAGTTTTCAGCCACACATTTTCTCCTCTTCCCCAATTCAGACACAGTCCCATCAGATTTTGAAGAATTACGTTAGAGGCCACATAACGTAGTTATGCTCCAAAGAGAAAGTAACACTGCATACTTACCTGATTCCATCATTGCATACAAGTAGACAGCATAAGATTTATTTGGGCTTAGTGAGCTATCAAACATACAGAAAGGTTTCTCTAGAGCAACTGTAGTAAGGGTGGGATTGTTTGTAGCAAGCTGAGGGACTGCAATCTGAGGTTTCAGGCTCTGATCTAGAAAAGAAAGTTATCAAAAAAGTGCATGAAAGTCTTTTTCCACTCCTTCTGCAAGCTCTGACTCAAAAGGGAGGGTAGGCATTGCTAGTGAACAACATTAAAGCATAGGAAGGAGATATGAAATACATCTGACTGGAAAGCAGTCCATCTGTCCTGTGAAAGTCTGAGAGTTGGTGGGGTTGTTGTAACACAAAACAGATTTAGGGAGGAAGGGAAGTAAGAGACATGGCTGCTCCTCAGGAAGGTAAGAAGCACATTAGTCACATCACCTCAGATGAACAAAGGCAAAGTCTTGTTAAATGAGAGACTTGAACCTCTGTCATTAGAGTCCCATATATAGCACCACCCCCAACCCCTCAACAACAGCACCCCAAGCAGTGCAATTATTTTTCAAATCCTTTAGCTACAAGGAGTCTTAATAAGGTTTTTAAGACACACAGAGCAGGCATAACAGATCTAGCAGAGCCTTACAGAAAGGAAAACTGTCTAGGAGAGACACTGGAGGGAGAAAGTGGTACTGAAATAGGGTTTAGTATCAGACATTTCTCCACCCCCTCACCCTATCTGCACTCTCCTGGGAAAGTTTAACTAACAACTAAAAGAAAAAGAAACAGAGCTCTCCCTCCTCCTTCCTGACCTAGATGCAGCAGAGGCACTTCAACAAGCTTCCAAGAAGAAAACAGTACCTGTTTGCAGTCCTAAATACCCCTCTCAGCACAGGTCCTAGAACAGAGCTGACACCCAAGAAGAAACAAAGACCCATAGAAGAAACAGGAAGAGAAGTACAAAGAGAAGAGCAAGAAAAAAGAAGGCAAAAACAATCACAGAGAGATACCACTTACCTGCACACAGCTGCCCCAGAGAGCAAAAGGCTAATACAACCCAATTGCCTCTCATGCTTGAGCCCTACCAAAGCCTACCCCAGAGAAAAAAGAAAAAACAGCAGTGGGAGGCAGCTCCAGCTAAAAAACTCCCACGTGCACTCCCACCCTGAAGTCAAGCACACCTGCACCTTTCCATAAGCTCCCTGTGGTTAGGAGCTACCTGTTCCCTCAGCACCTCCCTATATGCTTATCTTCCCTCCTGCTCAGGTGGCGCCAACCCCCAATCTTTATCAGCTCCCAGGTGGGGAAGGGTGTTGGAGCCTTCATTTCCACTCAATATTGCACACCAGTCTAGCTCTCAGCAGTGCTATGGTGCAAAGAGGATTTTTTTTCCACACATATAAGTGATAGGTGGCTTTGTTCTGTCTCCTTGTGTATCTTCTTCTGTTTAAAAACACTTTTGAAACCTCATGAGGAGGGAAATTTTGGGACTGAATATCTGAATCCTGCAACCAAACCACATCATGGAGGGATCTGATTATGATCTGCTTCAAAGCTCTAAATTTGGGCAGCCTTAAATCAGCAGTCACAATTGCCTTCTGAATTGTATTTCTTGGCTTACACCTTGTTAAACATAATCCTTCAACTTCTGGTTACGCTGGTGTGAAAAGGGCAGCTACATGGATGGCAAACCACTGGGAGAGCTGAATCACACCTGTTGTACTGAATCGTTCATCTGAGAATACTCTTGATGTGTGTTGCGATTACAAATGGTTTATTACATATAAGCTCAAATTACAGAACTACAAATCACCGGCTTAAAATAGGCTGAGGGAAAAAAAAAAGTTTCAGAAAGATTTTACAGAATTAATGCGACAAACTTGATGCCACCGCTGCAACTCCAGATTTAGACTAATATCACTACAGTTACATTACCAAATCCATCTACTTTGTGGATATGCCATGGCTCCCTGAAGTCTGTTTGAAATATGTAACCAAATGATTATAATGTAATTTCCTCCCCATATGTATCTCATTTTTTTTTCAAATTCTGCACATCAACTGTAGTGTATTTCGTTTGACTTTTTTCTCACACTACTTTTGAGGGAGAATAACTCTGTTGAACATAGGAGTTATGCCAGATTTGCACTGGTGTAGAATAAGGATGAGTTTTATTGTCCCTTCTCACTCTAGAGTACACTATAAGTCTGTGCTGGCATAAATACTTGAGTATATCAGGTTAAGACAGAAAATAAATTACCCCTCTGCCTTTTATTCCTAGGAATCCAATTTTTAACAGTTGCACTGGGGGAGTTATTTGTACAAACCTGGTACTGATCCACTCAAGAATGTTTTTATCCTTTAAAGCAATACAAATGATGCACAAAATCTGGAAGGTGTCTGACTTCTCAGTAAAAGCACAGCTTAAGAACAGCGGGATCCCTTTTTCCATGAATCAAATCGATACTTTCTCCAGATAGCGATTCCTGTAAAATCAAATCCTGAATTCTTTAGACAGGTAATCCTTCCAGAGCAATCAACAGGAGCTTTTTTTTTTTTTCTTTAAACAGAAAATAGACACATTATTTGCTTAATTTTTGAAAAAAGACACTAGGGCATCTTGAATATCAGAGAAAAAGAAATATTCCATTTCATGGCATGCAAGCCATTTGTACATGTTACAGAATACTCTTCTGAGTTTTGTAACAGAGTGCTACTTCCTCATTCACTTTCTAAAGCATCATAGAACCTCAGAGAAAAATACCACTTTTTTAAAAATCATCAAATTAAGACCCAGAGTTGTCATATAAATTGCAACTTAAAGATAGCAATTCTTTGTTTTAGATTCATAACTAGCAAGTAATAAATTCAGTAGTTATTACTCAGGCAAAACTCTGCGTGACCTTCTTGGAGTTTTGCCTGGCTGAAGACTGCGGTAAACTGCTTCTTGGGCTGCAGTCATGCAAACTGTTACTTATGATTAATTTTACTCCTGTGAGAAGCATGTCAGCAAAGTTTCTCATTGCAGAAAGGTTAATCACCTTTTTAAGTGGTTAAAGGATGGCAATTTTAGCCATTATTTTTCATGAGGATTATTATTTTTTTTTTCAGCCAGAATGATTTAGTTGAGTGCAAGACCGTCTTGTGCTCTAGAGGAATTCATCAGCCACAGATAAGGGAGAAGATGTTGCCGGTGTTGTGAGATTTTAAAAGCTTTGAGTTTGTTCCATGTTCAAAAGAATCTCTAACGAAGGCAGAAAAATAACATGACGATAAGCTCTCTCACCTCCATCTGTGCTGACAGATGTGTCCTAAATTAGGACCAGATTCCATCCTTGCTTACCCTAGTGTAAATCCATAATAATGCCACTGAAGTCAGGCGAGCTGGTCTGGATTTACAGGATGTTACTATGAACAAACCTCTATTCAGCATAGTCATAGCATTCCCTAAAGCAGGCACAGGACAAGAAATTAATGTAAAGTCCTAGGAGAACCCATGTGTCTGTTTAAGCAATAATGCCAATTTTCTTGCTCTGTGTTACATTGGGGGCAATTCTGGAGTAATTCATAGAAGTCTCCAGTGTCAGTTTGAACTGATGAGAGAGCAAAATTTGCCTGCAGCCCTCGCATGCCACAGTGCTAAGCCTGTAAGGGTTTGGGGTGAGCAGGGCCTTGAGTCCCAAAAAGCTGTGAAGAATATGGAATCCTCTAGGATCTGAAGTCCAAACTGTTACATTCCTGGCAGTGTGCATAATGGAAATAATCCTCTCTGCTTTGCTGTGCTCCATCTCTCCAGTCAGTTGCACTGGTTAAAATTTATAAGCAACTTGCAAGCACAACTCTGTGTAGAGAACAGCACAATTTTCAATAGAGATTAAAAAACATAGATAATGGTGGTAACATGTACCAGCCAAGAGACAATCTAATCCAAAGGGTGAAAAAGACTAATAAAATATAGAATCCATTTTAAAATACTTTGATGATGCTCTCTAGTTTTCTATATAGCTATTATTAGCTTGCAATTTCCTGCAGACATCCTAGTGGATGTAGACCTTCAGGAAGGAGCTGAAAGAGGAGAGGAGTAGTGGCTTTGTGAATCAATTTTTTAAAAAGTATTCCATGAATACGGGTGATCTGGAAGAGAATGCAGAGATGGTTAAAAAAAAGTTGATAGATCAGGTGATCAAGTGGAGATCAAGTGATCAAGGAGAGAGCTGGCACTGATTAAAAAATGGAGAGGTAGAGACCTGCAGCATTGTGAAAAATCTTGAAAGTGAGGACAAGTTGGAATATGAAATAATAGAAAAGTTTTTCCCTTCTACCTCCTGGCTGTGCTTCAGACATGATCTGGCAGGGTCATGCCACCTCTCCTGCTCAGTCTTCAGCATCTGGCTTGCAGAGGTTACTCACAAGGAGAGCAGCTGTAGTAGTATCCTTACTATAAGGATATTTGTCCGTTTGAGAGTTGCACTGAAAGTAGAAAATCAGTTCAAAGAGGTTGCTGGTCAGCTACTACAGACTTCAGAAGTGGTTGTTGTGAGGGCTAGTATTAGTTACAAATATTACAGTGGAAGATCCAAGCTATTCTGGCAAGGGAAACTTCTGTCTCATGTTAAATAAATTTCAGTCACTGCTGCACTGTATTCATATCATAAGACTATAGATAATTAGAATTTTCCATTTTACCCAGGGAGAAAGCTTCTCACTGAAGCAGGAGGTGAAATACCCTTTTATGACATTTCCTTCTCAAAGTCTTTGCAGAATACTTTAAGGGAGTAGGAGCTTCATGTCTTACAAGCTCTGTTGCACCAAAGGCCACATGGATGCCTGGAACCTCTGAGTCATTCTGGAATGTCTTCCATGCGTCTTTGGCTTCCTAGAAAAGCATTTCTGTCCTTTGATGCCTCCTTAGGGGGTATTTGCTTCTGATCTGAAAAGCTGCCTATTAACACAGCCTCAGGATTCATTTTCTGGGGCTCTCTTCCTTCTTTCCTAATAAAATCCCTTAGCCTGTACAGATTATGAATCTCAGAAAGAGCTCTGCAAACCACTTTGTTAGAAAGGGCCTGATGTGATGGAGATAAGCCCCATCCTACATTCTTTCAGCACAGGAACAGACTTATGTGCTGGGCGGTGGTCCCATCTGGGCACAGATCTAAGCAGCATGACTCACTGAGCCATTGATCTCCTTAAATTAGAAATCTTTCATGTGTCCATAAGGAAATATGAAGGCTCAGCTATTAAGATGGGATCTTGGAATTTATTTTATCATCTGGTGACAATTAATTTTGTGCAAACCTGTGAGCTCAAGCCACAGGAACATCAGGAAGGGAAAAAGCTTCAGGGTCAAGAAATCAGGGTCACTCCATTCTCTAATATAAACTGGCGCAGCTCCACTGAAGTAAATTTCTTACAAACAGAAGAACTGGTCCTGCTTGCATTCCTCTCAGAAGTCACGTACAAGATCTTAGCACTGCAGTAAACCCCAAACAATCTCACAATAGTGAAACATCTGTGGCTTGGAGTAGCCAAAGGTTAAAATGAAAGGTCCTTATTGTTTTCTTTGCTGAGGAAATATCTTACAATCTACAGTTATCTGCTTGAACTTTCATTTCGTATTGCTAAGAACCACTAAGAAATACTTTTATTTATGAGTCCTGGGCTTACGTGACTGTGTAGATGTCCCTAATAAAGCAGAAGCACCTTTTATTTGCTGCACTCTTCTCAGACTGCCTCTTGTGACAGATCATTTGTACCAGGCAGGTCAATAGGTCAGTCCCCCATTTCTTCACTTACAAAATGAATCCATTATTGATTGGGGGCGCTTATTCTAAAACATCAGTTGCACTAGGAGTAACACTGATGTAAAAGAGGGGAAGAGAGAAATCATCTTTGATAGTTTAAAGTGCTTTGCTACTTGAGTATTGTTATCTATGACCAAAGTAATATGGGTTTTGATGAAGAACTAAGCAAAGGTGATGAGGGATAGAGTTCATCTTCCTGACCTATGAACTGGCTGCATTCCCTAGGCCGCAGTTTCTTTTGCTGGCTTCATGCAAGAACGGATCCTAA